CGTCTGTCTCTTCCACCCTCTCTCTCTCCCTCTCCCTCTCCCTCTCTCTCTCTCTCTCTCTCTCCCCCTCCCTCTCTAACCTCCGATACGGGACCGAACCCAAGCACCCATAAGGGCCATAATCCCGCGCCGTTCTCCGCCACTCTTACCCTCAAGGCCGCTCGCCAACAGATCGCCGCTAAACCACTTTCATCACGACATACCTCTATTCTCCACAAGTAAATCGAGACAAAAAATGGAATACAAAGAAGGTTGTAAACTGCGGCCACTCGTATATTAGGAGTAGCCGGCACGTGCAGTGGGAGGGGAAAGGAGGGGGAGCCGAGAGGGAGGAGGGAGGAGAGACAGGGAGGGAAAGAAGGAGGGAGGGAAGGAGAGACAGGGAGAGAGGGAATGGTAAGAGGGAGAGAAGATGAGGGAGGGAGAGGCAGGGAGAGAGGAGAGAGAAAGAGAGAGGGAAATATGGAGGGAAGGAAGAGAGAGAATGAGAGGAGAAAAGGAGGAAAGAGGAAGGAGGAAGAGAAGATGAGGGAGGGAGAGGCAGGGAGGGAGGGAAATAAGGAGGGACGGAGGAGAGAGAATGAGAGGAGGAAAGAGGAAGGAGGGAAAGATGATGAGAGAGGGAAATAAGGAGAAAAGGAGTAGAGAGAGAATGACACGAGGAAAGGAAGGAGGGAATATGATTGACTAGGTGAGCGCGTAAGGGAGGGAGGGAGAGAAGACAGAAGAATAAACCAACAAAAGAGACCAAAAAAGAAGAGAACCGCATTTTTTCAAACGAATCAAGTGCGCGCCCGACCACCAGCAAGTGCTTCAAATAAAAACGAGAGAAAAACACCCATAAATAATTTTTTCCAAAAAGCCATGTGGACAAAGAGACAAAGAAAAAAAAAAGAAAAAAAATGCACGTCAACCAAAAGAAGAAAAAAATGCACATCATAAAAAGACTAAAAAAGCGATAACGATAATCTTATTGTGTACAAGAGCGCCGAGAGGGGGGGGGAGAAAGGGGAGGGAAGAGATAGAAGTGGATTAAGCATGATGTTGGAGGAAGTGGGTGGTTAGGGGGGTTGAGAGAGGGTGGGAATGAGGAGCGGAGACAATGGGAGAAAAAGGAAAATGGGGAGAGGAATAAGGGAAAGAGGGGAGGCAGAGAGGAAAGAAGAGGAATGAGAGAAGAGGACGAGAAAGGAAAGAAGAAGAGAGTAAAAAAATAAACTTGGACAGAGAAGAGCGCGAGAAAGAGGAGAAAAAAAACGTAAACAATGAGAACAGGACGAAAAAAACAGTAACAAATTTGACAAGAGTAGAAGGGGTGGAAGTTAAAAAGAGGTGAGGGGAAGCGACGAAGGCATGGCGGGGGAGGGGGGGGGGAGCGGGAGGGGGGGGGGGCTTTAGCGATAGCAACAAAGGCCGTTATAAAGGCCGGCAAGCAGGGGCAAGGCAACACTCGTCGATAACCCCGTTCCGCCACATCGATTAGATAAAGCAGGGCAGGTGGGGGGAGGGAGGGGAAGGGAGAGGGAGAAGCAAGGGAGAAAACCCATAAGAGTAGCGAATATGGGAAGGTAAAGGAGGGGGGAATGGGAAGGGAGGGGGAAGGAAACTATAAGAGTAGGGAAAAGGGGAAGGGGAGAGGGAAAAATAAGGGAGGGAACCTATAAGAGTAGGGAAAAGGCGAAGGGGAAGGGAGGGGGAAGGAAACTATAAGAGCAGGGAAAAGGGGAAGGTGAAGGGAGGGGAGGGGAAGGGGGAAGCAAGGGAGGAACCTAAAGGAGTAGGGGGGGAAGAAGGTAAAGGGGAGAGGGAAGGGGAGGGGAATTAACAAGAGCGCTGGCGTGGCTTGACGGGGGAGAGAAGGGAGGGAGGGAGAGTGGGGAGGAGACAACCGGGGGAAGGGAAGAGGGGAAGTTAATGGAACGGGGGAGCAGGGGGGAGGGGGGGGAAGGGTTATGGACTAGCATAGTTTGAGGGGGGAAGGGGGGGGGGGGTGCGGCGTCCGTCCGTGTGTGTGTATGAGTCACCCTCCCCGTCGTCGCGTGCGTGTCGATGCGCCGTTCCCGCGACTCGTTCGATCAGCTGGGAGAGCGACGCGCAGGAGACGTCCTCTCGCCGGGGATGAAGCTCCCTTTAGAGTTCATTAAGTGATATCCAGCAGAGACAAATGGTGATGATCATGTCAGTGGTGACGATGATAATGTCGATGGGTCTATATAGCCACACTAAGAGATACAGCAACACTAACAACGATAATAAGAACAATGACAATAACTATTACAGTAACAATGACAAAGTACAAAAAATAACAACCAAAACGACGACGACGACAACTGCAACAGCAACAACAACAACAGGACACATGAAAACAACTCTAGAAAGGGAGGCAGCTTCCATGCGGACCCCCCCCCCCCCGGCCTCGTCTGAAGAGCGAGGCCTCCGGAAGCGAGGACAAGCTGAGGGGGAGGGGGAGGGTTGCGGGCGTGCGGGCGTGCGTGCGGGCGGGCGGACGGGCAGCGTCGGCGTCCCGTCACGGAGAGCGGCGAGTAGGCGCGGCATACCGGAGCAAGGTGTCCCGGAGGAGCCGTGACGTCAGCGCCAGCCGTGACAGACTCGCTCCTTCGCCGCACGTCCGCCAGGGGAGGAGGCAGGAGGAAGGAGGAGAAATGGGGACAGAGGGAGATTATCCTCAGGAAGACAGATTAACTTAGGAGAGAGATAAACTTCCTGGGCAATCCCACCGGGGAGGGTCCGAAGTGCTTGTGTTCTAATCTTGGCCTTGGCACTGCCCGCTGTTCTCAAGGAGGAGGAATGGAAGGTGCCTCGACTCCTGCTCAAAAGATGGGGGGGGGGTCCGGTTAAGCGTCGATTTTCTCTTTTCCTTCTTCGCCTGCTACAGCTAATACAACGATTTTTCTTCTGCCAGTGTCATTATCATTACAATAAAACTCATCATCATCGTCATCATCACAACTATCAGTATCATTGTTATTGTTATTAGTGTCATCATTGTTATTCATTATGACTATTATTATCCTTATTGCCATTAATATTACTATGATTTCTATCACCATTCCTAATGATAATTTCTATCGTTACTACTGCAATACCACTGCCATCAACATGATCACAAACACCGCTATCAGAATTACTGCTGTTGCCATTACCAGCAATATCATCATCGCCATTATCTATCCAATTATCACAGTCACCATCATCACAACCGCGCATAATCATCCTCATTATCCTCAGGGCGTAACCATCCCCCCAACACCACTACCATAAAACCGTAAAATCCCCCGAGAGCTTCCCTGCATCAGATTTCAGACTACAAGAATAATTAAGACTTACACGTACAACAATTAATTCTATAAGTAACTTATATCGACATGTACCGTAAGACCACTATCCATGTAATAAGAATAACCACTGTCACAAATGGAATAAAGTATTCTGAATCTGTAGCACCGCCAGGGCCCCCACAACAACAACAACACGCACCTGGTCTCGAGCGCAGGCCGGGGCTGAACCAAGACTCAACAGGCCCCTCTTATCGCTCTCAATCTTATCGCACCGCACGACCCTGAAGTATATTCTCAAATTATATCATCAAAGGCATCTTGACTGTCAATAAATAAATAATTCGTAGAAGAGTGCGTGTGTGTGTGTGTGTGTGAACGGACCTTGCAACAGCGGGCGGGCGACACGAGCCTACAACAGGTGGCGCATCATTACAACGAGATACCTGGAGCGTTAAGAGTGTATATAAAGAAAAAGCCTTTTGGTGAATGGACGGATGTGATAACGTAAGTCGGCGAATTGCTATTCTTGGCGATAGCCTAAACAACGCGGAAAATAATAACAGTCTACCATCCAAGACACAACCATGAGAGGTGTATAAACAATTCAAACACTTGGAAAGGTAAATAAACAGAAGTTATACGATGGAATTGAAAATAATAATAATAATAATAATAATAATAATAATAAAAATATAATATAGATATATCATTACCCTCCACAAAAAGCAAATGGCTTACAACGAAATAGACAAAGGAACTACAACATATAAAACAAAACATTCATTCCCGATAACAAACACACAAGAAAAAAAAACAGGAAAATACGGCCAATAGACAAAGATAGTAAACAATGCATGCAGACAACGAGCAAGAACAAACGTATCTTAGGGCGCACGTAACTAGAACAAAAAAACTGTGTACGTAACAAGAACAAAAACGCAGCCTAAGGTAACAGAGCCGAAGATCACCGTCGCAGCACATAAGGACATAAAAAACTCAAAGGGATATGAACAAAAAACGAAATCAGGTGAGTGAGTCAGCAGAAGACCCCTGACTGAGTGACTCAGCCGGAGAGAGAGTCAGCAAGGACATGACCCCAGACGACTCCTGAGGAGTGAGTCGTCAGGGGGAGGGAGCGGGGAGGGCTTTAGTAGGAGGAAGGGGGGAGGGAGGAAGAGAGGAGGGCTTGGGTGGGAGGAAGGGAGGGAGGGCTTGGGTGGGAGGAAGGGAGGGAGGGCTTGGGTGGGAGGAAGAAGGGAGGGAGGAGGGACTGGGTGGGAGGAAGGGAAGGAGGAAGGGAGGAGAACTTGGGTGGGAGGAAAGAGGGACTAGGTGGGAGGAAGAAGGGAGGGAGGAGAGCTTGGGTGGGAGGAAGGAGGGAGAGAGGAGGAGAGAGGAGGGACTGGGTGGAGGAAGAAGGGAGGGTGAAGGGACTGGGTGGGAGGAAGGGAGGGAGGAGGACTGGGGGGAGGAAGGGAGGGAGAGGACTGGGTGGGAGGGAGGAAGAGAGGAGGACTGGGGTGGGAGGTGGAGGTCTTGGGCGGGACTCGGGCGGGGCTTCTCGAGCAGCTTAGCAGTAGGCCTGGCGACGTGGCACCAGTCGAGGAGTGTCAGATGTCACGTCGTAGCCTTCCGACACCGCGGCGTGGCACTGAGCCTCGTAGCGCTGCAGTGCCCCGTCGACATGGACTCCCTCACGCGCGCACAGGAGTCCAGCGACGCGTAAGTGCTGCTCCTTGGAATCCGACTTGGCTTCTGCTGATCCGCGCCGCCCGGAACGATGGCTCTGTGGCGTCCGTGCGCGGCCACCTCATGCACATACCGCACCCCGCACGGCCCACACGCATACCTTAGCATGAGAGTTCCACCACATGCACACTCCGCCGCGGCTGGTCTTTGTCTCACTACACACAAACACACGCACACACAAATGCACAAATGCCCAAACAAACAACCAGACACACATAAACAACAAAATCACACACACACACAAACAAGCAAAATCACACACACACACACAAACACAGAGCCTCTGTTGCAGCGAATATCACACACCGAACCGCAATAAATCTGCAATCACAATACAGAGTAATCGCACACCATTGCAAACTCCAGCACACGCAAAGACAGCTCGACACAAAACTCGAGAAAAACGCAACTCACACATTTTTTTTTTACTCTTTACTTGTTACGTCATCAACACCGATGTCAACAAGAGTGAAAGCAAGGTAAGCAAAAATAACCTTAAATGTGGTTGTTGTTGTTGCTGGATGCCTATAGAAATAATACAAACAAAATATTCACCAATTACATCAGCCAAATTCATAACAAACGACAGGTGTAATCAGATATCATACATACATACATATATACACACAAACGATTGAACAAACAAACAAACAAACACGCTCCCTAGTCTGCCATAACATCACCCATCCTTTACCTCCATCACCCCTTACCATTACCCCCCCCTCCCCAACTTCCAGTCCACAGAGCATAACACGCCACTACATGCGCCAATGAGCTCCTCTTTTTTCTTCTTCTTCTTCTCTATTTCCTATCCGCTTTATCATCACCATCGTCACCGTCACCATCATCATGGCAGTCCCCGTCACTAGTATTACATCACACATCACCACCACCACCATCATCCTCACCGCTACCACCACTATCCTCACCACCATCACCACGACCATCATCATCACCATAACCACCATCATCAACACCACCACATCACATCATCCCCACCACCACATAACCATCACCATTCTTCTCACACTCCTCTCCCATCGCACTCGCCACTCGCACCCCAACGCCTCCCACATCCCGCAGTCCAGGCTGTGGTGGCGAGGAGAGGCGAGGGAGGGAGGAGGGAGAAGGAAAAAATACACGCTGAGCCGAGATTACGAAGAGGAGAAAGGGAGGGGAAGGAGGGAAGGGAAGGAGGAGGGAAGGGGAGAAGGAGGGAGAAGAGGGGAAGGAAGGGGAAGAGGGGGAGGGAGGAAACGGGAAGGGGAAGGGGGGAGGGGAGGAAACGGAAGGGAAGGTGAAGGAGGGAGAAGAAAGGGGAATGGGGGGAGGAAATACGAAGGGGGAAGGGGGAAGGGGGAAGGAAACGAGAAGGGGGAAGGGGGGAAAGGGAGGGGTAAGAAACGGGAAAGGGAAAGGGGAAGGTAAAGGCAAAAGCACAGTCAAAGGAGATGGGGAAGACGAAGGTCAAAGGCAAAAGCAAAGGATACGAAGAAAACGAGAAAGGAAAACAAAAAGAGAGAGAGATGGGGCTCTGTAAAAGATAATAACGCTGAGTGGGAAAAAAAAGAAAGATAATATGTAGGAAGGAAGAGGAAAAACCGAAAATACGGAGAAACGGAAAGTAAGAAGGGGAAGAGGAAAGGAAAGTCAACTGTACGATAAAAAAACGAAAGGGGAAGGAAGGAAGGAGTGAAAGGAGAGAGAGAGAGAGAGAGAGAGAGAGAGAGAGAGAGAGGAGAGAGAGAGAGAGAGAGAGAGAGAGAGAGAGAGAGAGAGAGAGAGGAGAGAAGAGAGAGAGAAAGAGAAAGAGAAGAAGAAAGAGAAAAGAAAGAAAGAGAAAGAAAGAGAAGAGAGAGAGAGAGAGAGAGAGAGAGAGAGAGAGAGAGAGAGAGAGAGAGAGAGAGAGAGAGAGAGAGAGAGAGAGAGAGAACAACAGCGAAAGCGAATTAGGGAAAGACGGAGAAGGGAAAAGGAAGAAGCCGACCAAGAAGAAGAGGCAAGAAGGGGGAGAGGAGTGGAGGGGGGGACCGAGTAAGGGCAATTAGGGCAATCTGTCAAAGGTCGACGATGCCAACTCCAACGACAATAAAAAAATGACAGTTAAGTAACGTACTCGTCCCTTCCCTCCCCGCCTTCCAGACTGGGCCTGTCAACCACAACGGAAATGTTACGTAAAGAAAAAAGAAATGAACAGCGATGTCTAACGAAAAGACGCTCGATTATGGAAGGAGGGACTGAGATAGAGCGTGACAAAGGTTTTATACGAAAGGAAAACATGACATAAAGAGAGAATAAGGGAGAAAATACATTACAGGTAATAACTGTAATGAAAATGCGCATAACTCTGTTGGTCATCACCATAATAACAATAACAATAACAATAATAAAAATAAGTATGGTAATAAAAATACAATGGATTTGGAAATCAAATCAACAATAAATATGGATATAAAATTAAAAATAAATATGAAAATAAAAATATAAATAAACACGACAGAACATGTAAATAAAACAAAAAATAAACAAGGAAATAAAACAAAAAAGAACAAGGGAATAAAAACAAAAATAATGAAAATAACAAGAAACCATAACCCATCTACAACCCCCCCCCTCCAAAAAAAAAAATCACAACCATAAACATCAACATCAATAACATCAACAACAACAACCGTTCCAAATGATGATAAAACGGGTCTTATAAAATGGCACACGAGGGCCATCGGCGCCGGCTCGACCCCCCCCCCCCCCCGCGCTCCACCGCCCCTGGCACCTCGGGTCAGACACCACTGGCACTGGCCTTATCCGTGCCACCAATTCTGCTCTTGGCACACCTGACGCTCTCCTGCCCACACTGGAGGGCCTCCTTCAAAAGCATTACGGGGAGTCTGGCCGCGATACACGCTCACAGTTCTATCCATAACATTTTGATTTATTTATGATTATCTTATTTTATTCATTTATCTATTCATTATTATTATTACTATTATTATCATTATTATCATTATTTGTGTGTGTGTGTGTACACACACACACACACACACACACACACACACACACACACACACACACACACACACACACACACACCACACACACAACACACACAAATATATATATATATATATATATATATATATATATATATATATATATATATATATATATTATATATATATATATTATATTACGTGTACGACTGAATGGATGGATGGATGGAAAACGGGAATGAAAAAGAGAAAGCGATGAGGAAGGAGGAGGAGGAGGAGGAGGAGGAGGAGGAGGAGGAGGAGGAGAGGAGGAGGAGGAGGAGGAGGAGGAGGAGGAGAGGAGGATAAAGGAGAGGTGGAGGAGAGAAGGAGGAGGTGGAGGAGAAGGAGGAGGTGGAGGAGAAAAGGGAAGAGGAGAGGAGGAGGAGGAGGAGGAGAAAGAAGGAGGA